CGTAAGCCTTTGGAGTTTGTTGAAGGGAAGCATGTGTTTCTGAAGGTGATTTCGACTTCTGGTGTGGGTAGAGCGCTGAAGGCAAGGAAGTTGACACCGAGGTTTGTGGGTCCCCATCAGATCATACAGCGTGTGGGTGCAGTTGCTTACCGGTTGGCTTTGCCACCGTCTCTTTCAAACCTACACGATGTGTTTCATGTATCCCAACTGAGGAAGTATGTGCATGACCCGAGTCATGTGGTGGAGCTGGATGATGTACAAGTAAAGCAGAACCTGACTTTTGAGAAGTTGTCAGTAGCTGTGGTCGATCATAAGCTGAAGGAGTTGAGGGGCAAATCCATTGCTCTGGTAAAGGTGTTGTGGGATGCATCTACTGTGAGGCTACTTGGGAGGTGGAGCAGCAGTGCAGGGAGCGATTTTCGTTTCTATTCCCAAGTAAGTCAATTTTCGGGGACGAAAACTCTTGTTGTTTGGGAGGTTGTGAGACCCCCGTAACTCTTTTTCTCCCTTCCCTCTTTTGCTCACTCTCACTCTCAATATTCACTCCTTTCCCTTGGATCCTTCTTTTGGATGTTACAAGGTGTTGGTGCTGAGTAACTTGGGTTGCTAGCTGGTGTGCGGATTTCCCTCCTCTTCTTCCTCTTTCGTTCGAGCTCTTTTTCGTCTCCGTCTCCATTTCCTTCTTCCCGGAGCTCGGATTCTTGCACCGAGGTAAGGGAAGCTAGTTTTTGCTGTATTTTGGCTGAAAAATGAGTCTAGGAACTCATTTGATTGTTGATGATTGATGATTTGAGCTGAGATGGATGAAAATTGAGTTTCGGGGTTTTCGGTTTTGGGTAAAATTTTGGGGTTTTCCCTTGATTTTGGTTGCATGTTGAAAAAGCTGGCATTTTTGAACTCTTTGATGAAAATGAAAACTTTTGGCTGGATTGCATGCTGGATTTTCTGTTGATTTTTGCAGGTTGTGGGCAATTTTCGAACTTGGGGAAGTTTCTGCTGAGCTTCGCGTTGGGCGCTGTTCTTCGCGCCGGGCGCGATATCAGTTGTGCCATATTTTGGGTTTTCTGGTGCTGCGCTGGGCGCCACCATTGTTACGCTGGGCGCGGAGGCTCCTTGGGAGTCTCTGCTAAAAGGGCGCTAGGCACAATGTGAATTGCGCCAGGCGCAAGACCTTGGTAGGTCTCTACCTTCCCCACGCTGGGTGCGGGTTAGGCCACGCCTGGCGCGTGAGAGCCTTGGGCTCTCTAGCTGAGGCACGCCGGGCGCAGGAACGCTTGCGCCGGGCGCGCTGGCCCCTGGTGCTCTCTGGTTGTGCCACGCCGGGCGCGACCATGAGTGCGCCGGGCGCGTATGATGATGTGGAGTTATATGCTGAAATTTGCTGATAAATGTTGTTTTATGCTGAACTAAGCTGTAATTGATGAATATGTTGTGCTGACTAGATGTTAATGCTGAAAAATGATGTTAAGCTGTACTAGAGGTATATTGTTGTGCTGAGCTGAGCTGTTATTGATGATTTTAAATGCTGATTTATAATACTGTTGTGCTCTAAAATGATGAGCTGAGTTGTGAGTAGTAGGCTGTGTTGAATACTACTTAGCCGTGTTGTATGCTGATTTGTTGTGCTGTGCTGTATATTAATGTGTTGTGTTGTGTTGTAAGCTGTTTGGCTGTGTTGTGAAATGCTGAGCTGTATGATGTGTATGGCCACTATTGTGATGTTGTTCTTGCCGCTATGTCGGTGCTGTTATTAACTACTATCGTGGTGCTGTTATAGCCGCTAAGGCGGTGCTGTTATTGTCGCTATGCGGTGCTGTTATAGCCACTAGAGTGGTGTTGTTATTGCTGCTATGCAGTGCTGAAATTGCCGCTTTGCGGTGCTGATATTGCTGAATTGTTGTGGTGTAGTATAAGTTGTGCGGATGTGCTAATAGCTGTAGCTATTTACCATTTATATTGTTTTATATGTATGTTGTTTTCTTTTCACTAGCTTACCCTTTGCTGTCTCCATGATGTTTGGACTACGATGATCATACTATGTATGGGAGCAGAGCAGGGATAGGTTGGTGGCTGGCAGTAGGTCTATAGCTGGCAGATGGAGCTGAATATTTTTAGTTGTTTTTTTTGTTTTAGTTACTGGGTGTAGTAGCATTTGATGTATTTTGTACACTTTAACTCTATCCAGACTTGGATCATGTATATGTATATAGTCTAGACCCTATATGTATACACTTGTTCCTTTCTGTGTGGTGTTTCTAGTGTGTCGTGCCGTGTGTAGTGACTAGCCGGGTTGTTACAATATATCATACATATATGAACCAACTATACAACATAATATTATATAACTTTTTAATCCACATGATAACACCTTAACACCTCAAAACAACATGTGTCTCCCTTTGACAACTTTCAAAGAAGACAACACATGGAGAGTTATACTCATCCAAATAAGTTCAAATCTATCTCAAAAGAAAGATAAAAAGATAATCTACAACTCTTATGAAGACATGAAATTCTAAATAAATCATCTACTTGGCTAAAAATGTCAAAACTCGCAACAGATATGATCAATGTTGACAGCTTGGCCTCTATTTACTAAAATAAACATAACTAGAGTTCTAGACCTCCTTTTTAGATGATTCTAGCGCCATTGGAAATATAACATCCAAAGCTACAACTTTCATGAAGACATCAAGACCAAATTCAGTCATATACCCTCACCTCTGCAGCGCTCAAATCAGCGCTTTAGAGCTGGATTTTTGTCATCTCAGTTTCATTCCCACGACTGCAGCCATGAACCACGGCTACGGCGGTGGATCTCGGCCATCCTCTCTTTTCCATGGCTACAACGGTGTATTTCTGCCATCCTCTCTTTTACCTCATGGTTGAAACCATGAGCCATGGTTCAAGTGGTGGGTGCATAATTTTCTACATTTTCATGGCTTCCACCTTCGATCTTCACCTTCTCTTCACCAATCTTCCTTCTAAACATGATCTATGCCCATGATTACTACTACATTTATTCAAGCAACCCAAAAACCATACAAATTTCAACATGCATGCATTAAACTCCATGAATCACTCACTTTTCCCCAATTCATCCAAGAACCCCACATCCCAAACAACATGCAACCTACCCAGCTTAACTACTCAGTCCCAAATCATGTCCCAATTGATAATCTAACTACATGCAACCCAAAACATACAAGAATTCGAGTTCTAGCTTTCCGTACCTGAAAATTGGCTCAGAAAACTCAAGAAATAATAAGAAGAAGAATCCCCTCGAAGCTTGACCCGCAGACTTCAATCCTCCAAAACAAGCTTCCTAGCCTGAATTCCAAGAAAAGGCAGAAGAGATTAGTAATCTAGAAGAGAAGAGGAAACAGAGAAATTTTGGAAGAAAAGGAGCTCACGGACCCAGAGCCCTTTTTTCTAAAACTTCTCTCTATATTTCTTTGAAAATGAGCTTATGAAGTTTCGTTCTAAAAGAAAATCTTATATACCCATTCTTTCTAGAATTAACTAAACTCTAAACAATAACTCACTATTTTACATAAATAATTTTAATAAATGTGAGGATAAATATTATATTATAAGAATTATATAATTATAATCCTTTTAATTAAATTATCTATAAATTGGTATGAAAAGAAGAATTGTATAATTACAATTTGAAAATATTAGTAATATCTATCATCTCAAGTATAATAATGTGAAACTACTAATTTTTAGAACATTTTTTCAATACTATTCATCGTGTATTTTTATTTATATCTTTGTTTATTATTTTTATGTCTTTAATTTCAATTATCATTCATGTATCTTATAATTGAGTTAAATTTCAAAATTAGTGTAATAAGAATTCAAAGTAAAAATATAACATATTTCTTTTTAATGTGTATTACCATAATATGAAAAATTAGTTATTTCAATTTATCTAATAATTCATATTAATGGTAGAGTGAACTTAGAAAACTAAAATCACAACAAATATATTATATAAAAAAATTCCATTCTCTTAATTTAGACATCTATGTATAAATCTTTTTTACATTTATTAAATATGATAATGTAACATAACTTTAATCTCTTCAAAATATATTATATACATTTCTTTAACACACAGTCAATATCTAGTTAAGGACTAATGTATGCTTTCGAAACATAATTTTCGTTGATTAAATATTATTTTAATATTTATAAAAATTTCTTATTCAAATATTTACAAAATATTTTATTAATGACCATTAAATATTATATTATTTTTTGTTGTGTCTTTTATTTAATAGTATACTTTAAATGTATATAAATTGATATGGAAAGTTATATATTTAATAAATATAATATATTTAATGAATTTAATTTATATTAATATTAATAGTATTACAAAATTTAATTAAATATAATATTTAGTAAATAAACAAATATTATATAAAAATCACTTTATTTTTTTAATTTATAATTTCAATATTATATTAATAAAAAACAATAAATAAATATAATTGTGGCTGCTTCTATTAACATGCTTAAATAACACAAATATCTAAACTTATTGATAGAATACATCGAAACATGTATCTTAACTGATATAATGTATTTAAAAGGAAATTATAAATAATTGTAGCCGCTTCTACAGTTTTATCTTTTGTGTGCCATGTATAAAATTCTCAGTCCACTCGTTATTCCTTGTCTCATAGTCTGGTGAAAAATTGTATCTCACTATTTTTTTTCTCCATTTCTTTTATTATTAAATTTTTAAAAGTATAAATATAACTTCTCTTAGATCATCATTTTCATTCTATTAATTTTTAAAAAAAATTAAGAAATGAAAGAAATAAAGAGAAAAAGATAGATAAGATCTTTCCTCAATATGGTGTGATGCGTATATAAAAGGATAATTATTATTTATTTATTCATCTAATTTTATTCCATTTTTAAAATTTTTCTTTATATGTCATAACATGAATTAATTATCATATTTATCGCTCTTTCTACTTCTCTCTTTCTCTCTCTCTCTTTTTTTTTTAATCCATAGGCCTCATTTATGAGATAAACATTTTGTAACATAAAATGGCCCCTCCTGTCATATCCTTGAGAAGCATTGTGTGAACACTTGAGAGAGAGAGATAAAGATGGCTGGTGTCTCCAATGGCCACGACGGTTCCTCCTTCAAGATGCCCTCCATCAAGTTCACCAAGCTCTTCATCAATGGACAATTTGTTCATTCTATTTCAGGTAATTCAATCCTTTTCTTTATTATTTCTTTTTCTCCTCTTATTCCTATCCATCATTCTCTGTTTTTCTTTCTCTTTTTTATTCCCACCCAATATATTTTTACTTTCACACGAAAATGGAAAAGGCATATACATAAAAATGAGATGAAAACATTAAACATAAAGAGGTGAATAGATAAGAGTTCCCTCACCCTCTCCTCTCAACCATGCAACATTCTGGAATATTCATGGAAAACAAAACTTTAATATATAATTTACATTTTAGTTTCAAAAAAAAAATTATGTAGTTTTTTCCTTGTCGGTATCTCCAATTCACTTCACAGTACACACGATGAATATCGAGCCCAAAATTTTTTATTAAATAAATTATCATCACACAGTAATTGTCGAATTGAAGGTATTTATACATGAGAGAGATATGCTACTTCTTCGAAAAGTTCCTCTGAAACTATTATAAAGTTCATACATGTTAACTTATACACAGTAAAATGTTTATTTATGTTTAACTTGACTACCCATACACTCAGTAGGCAGATGTTTCAGAAGATTATTTTCTGAAATGAATCATTTTTCTATAAGAGAATATGAATTTGGAAAAAGTAATACTACTAATACTTTATTTTTATTAGAATTAAAAATATATTTTTATAAAAGGGTAATAATTATACTAGTATAATACTACTTAATAACTTTATATTAAATATAAATAATTTAATTATTAAATTAAAATTTTTTTTTAAATATACTGTATAATATTATATCGTGAAACAAACTCTCCAAAGGTAGAATACGCGTGCACACAACTATAATCAAATGCAATGACCAATGGCTAATGTTTCTCTCACAACTATAAATGCGAAGGTCAGAACAGAGAAATAGAATGGGAAAGAAATACTAGAAAGTAATAGATGGAGTATTATAAATGTAGTATGATAAAACAATAATAAATTAATGAAAAGTCAAACTACTTTGATCGATTGAATCAAAAAAAATATTTTGAATAAAAAAAAACTACTTTGATCGAGTAATTTTCTCCTTAATTATTAAAATCATGTGATTTTAGTCTTTTAATTATTATAATTATATAATTTTTAATATATTTAAGTTATTTATATTATTGATTTTATAAACCATAAATATATATAATTTAATACATAAATAAAAATTATAATATATAATTTAAATTAGTCAAAAAAATTATATAATTACAATATTTAAAAGATCAAAATTATATACTTGTGATTATTATATTTGAATAATTAAAAGTGTTTAATTAAAATTTGAAGAACTAAAATCACATAATAAAGATAAAAAAAAATGTAATTAAATTTTTTATTTGATAAGGAGATATAATTTTTATTTAATAGAAAGTTGCAAATTTTAATTTCTACGCTAAAAATTAAGTTCCTGTCTTTATTATTAAAAAGAGAAGATTAAATAAATGGTGGTATAAAACTGCTATAAAATTGGTAGGGTAGAAACCAAAATTAAAAATTTTTGATGTGGAGAGTAATTTAATTTTGGTTATAAAAATGGAAAAACAGGAAAGGAGTTTGAGACAATAGATCCAAGGACAGAAGAGGTGATTACGAAGGTGGCAGAGGGAGCAAAAGAAGACATCGATGTTGCTGTCAAAGCGGCACGTGTTGCATTCGACTATGGTCCATGGCCTCGCATGCCCGGCGCTGTATGTTATCATTTCTCCATTTACTCACTCTTCTGCTATTAATTTCTCGCTCTGTTATTCGGGTACTATACAGTACTTTTATAAACGTGTCACTTTTGATTTTAAATTTTATATAATATCTTTTTAAAATTAAAATTAAGATTTTTAATCTTAACATTTATGTACCAAAAAAAAAATTTCTTAACATTTATTTTGAGATAGATAAACGATGTTTATTATAAAACTAAAATAAAAATTAAAAAAAAAACGTGCGCAGACACAAGCAATCTTAACTCCAAATTACGTACAAGCAAACTCAACTTTTCAACACATCTATATAAAATAAATGAATAGGAGGCCCTGAGTCAAATAACATCATCACAACCTTACCAGTATCTTTACCCTTCCCCTTTACTAAATCAGATGAAGTGGAAGCTTCGACTCCGGTCAAAACAAACATCCTTCCAGCTATAGAAGATCTTTCATCCCTCGGGGCACTCCTGGTCTGTCTGGCACCTACAGGACAACTAGTCGACATGTGACCCATCTGGCCACACCTAAAGCACTTGCTCTCGGTATGAAGCAATCACGAATGAAGTGAGGTCCACACATCTATAACATCTGAGAGTAGCAGCTCCACTCTAATCCCCACTCCTAGCTATGTCAATAGGTTTCCTTGTGACAGGACTCCTTGTTGTGATTGGAGCCTATCATAAGGCTTCCTCTAAGAACCACCACCACTCTTGGACCCAGCTGGTCTACCAACAATCTTCGTCGACTTGCCGACGCTCTCTAGCCGCTCTATAACCTTCGCATTCTCTACCAAGACTGGAAACTTCGTGATGGCCATAGGCACCACCACTCTCTTCAAATTATACTTCAAGCCTTCAACAAACTTCCTACACTTCCAAGCCTCAAAGGTGGTTTGGGTGTAGAAGTGTGCCAAGTACTCGAATCTTACGTCATACTCAGTCACCAACATTCTCCTTTGCTGTAATCTCATAAACTCTGCCTCCCGAGCATGCCTGACACTCACTGGGAAGTACTTCTCGAGGAAGGCCCTCTTGAAGCACACCTAGTCCACAACCACTCCATGGTCAATTCAGCATTTGACTAGTACCTCTCCAACAATACTCTGCCTCCCCTATCAACATATACACTGCATAGTTAAGCTTTCGCTCCTCTGAACAACCTAGAACTGAAAATATCATCTCTAACTCGCAAACCCAGTGGTCAGCCACCTCCAGATATGCATCACCTCTGAACTAAAGGGGGGACTACACTTCCTAAACTTAGCCAAAACCCGACTCTCCTATAACCCAACTGGTCTTGAGGCACTAGTCGCAGCTCTCTCAGCATCCATCCTAGCAAAGTAGGCATTCTACTATTGCATAGCTATAGCCATCATCTCCATGTCATGAGTTTTGTTTTTTGCAGAGGGATGAACTATTTGTTACTCATTTGCACATTGTTGCTACTCCTCAGGTATGAAACAAGGTTTCGTTAGCACTTTTCTACTTAGCATTGTTACTCTGGCTATCTGTTTTATTCGATTTTTTGGTTGTTCTATTTGTATAGGTAGTGGGCGTTTTTTTTTTGTTGTTCTACGAAGCAGAACGGGCCGTTCTGATTGCAGAACAGGTCGTTCTACCTGCGTTCTTATGTTTTTTTTTTTGTTTTTTTACTACTTTTTTACGTCGGATTTCGTAATGTCCGACGTAAATTTACGTCGGGTTTGCAGTTCCGACGTAAAATTTACGTCTCCCGCTTCTATGTCGATACGTTTTTGACGTAAAAAGCCTAAAATATTCGACGTAGTACACCTCTTTTGTACTAGTGGCTTTTAAGGCCGAGAGTAAGATAAGTGGAACAGAGGCAAAAGGGCTTAGCGCCTCAAAAGGGCTTAGTGTCTCAAAAGGGATGAGCGGTTTGGTCATTGAAGAAGGCGCATTCTCGACCTCTAAGGCGCTTAGCGCATTTAAAAGGTTTAACCCTTTGGAATACTTAAGGTTGAAGGATTCTCCCAGACGCTCAGCGGATTAAAAAGGCTCAGTCCTTTGGATTTCTTCATGATGAAGGATTCTCCAATCCGCACAGCGATTCCCAGGTGCTAAGCGATTTCTTTTTTCTCCTACCTGCTCTGTTTTATTTTCAACACATATAAAAGGACCAGAGGGGAGAAAAAGAAGCATCAGAGATTCAGCAAAGGGAGAACAGAGATAGACAGACCAAACGCAACACCCTAAAGCTCGCGGGAACAGAGTTCTTAGGATCAATCTCTTTCAACTACCTTTCTTTTTGTTGTTTTCATCTTGTGATCTCCTTCACTATGATGAGCTAAAACTCTTTGGTTGGGATTAAATGTAATCATCAAACTCCCGTGTATTCCTTTTTGATTCATATATATATTACATCTATTATTCAATGCTAGTGATTCAAATTCTATTCTTAATGCTTTGATAAACTGATCATTTATCGTTGGTCTTGGATTTAGATCTTGGTTAGAAAACGTTTTCTGAGTCTAGTTTTGAAATGAATCACCTATTAGTTTTGAAAGCTAGGAATAGTTTCGAAACTGATAGTTGCAATAAGTTCTAATTCTTAATGTGAGACGTTTAACTGGATGAAGTGAGGAATCACTCATTGAGTTAAATATCTTATAATTTCTAATGTCAAGGAATTGGTTTAGAATGAATATAGAGAACTCAATGGTAATGAATAATGGAATTATTTGCAAGAATTATTAGGAATGCATAGAAGGAAAATTGATGAAACTTAATCCTAACTGCTTAATATATATGCATTTCTTTAAGTTTAATTCAATTCTGGTTTACTGTTCATATCAAATATTTAATGTTTGTAAACATCGAAAAATTGATTAAACAAGTAGGAATTAGTATAATAGAAGTCAATTTCTACTTCACAAGTCCCTTAGGATCAACAACCTTTTACTATATTGTAGAGACTTGGGTTCCAACACTACCAGAATTTTTACTACTTTTTTACGTCGGATTTCGTAATGTCCGACGTAAATTTACGTCGGGTTTGCAGGTCCGACGTAAAATTTACGTCTCCCGCTTCTATGTCGATACGTTTTTGACGTAAAAAGCCTAAAATATTCGACGTAGTACACCTCTTTTGTACTAGTGGCTTTTAAGGCCGAGAGTAAGATAAGTGGAACAGAGGCAAAAGGGCTTAGCGCCTCAAAAGGGCTTAGTGTCTCAAAAGGGATGAGCGGTTTGGTCATTGAAGAAGGCGCATTCTCGACCTCTAAGGCGCTTAGCGCATTTAAAAGGTTTAACCCTTTGGAATACTTAAGGTTGAAGGATTCTCCCAGACGCTCAGCGGATTAAAAAGGCTCAGTCCTTTGGAGAACGGCCCGTTCTGGGACTCATCCAGAACGGCCCGTTCTCTATCTAAAACGGCCCGTACTCCCTCCAAAATGCCTCATACTCCATCTAGAACGGTCCGTTCTCCATCCAGAACGGCCCGTTCTAGGGTCTAAAACGCCTCGTTCTTAACTACAAATTATAGGTAAATTTAGTAGTTTGGAATGGCCCGTTACAGTTTGGAAACGACCCGTTCTGGACTACTGAATCACCCATACTGAACTTTTGGGTCTTCTAAAATAATTTACCATGTTACATTTTTATACTCCCAATTTTTTAAGAGAGAAGCACCGACTAATTTTTCATATTAATGTCATTAAAACATTTAATTGTATGAATATTTTGGTAATAAAATTTAAATTTAGAATATATTAATTATAATTAACAACTCAAATGATATTTATCTGGTCTGTCTAATTTTCATCCTATGTTTCATATGTATAAGAAGAGAATTGTTTCATCGTCCGAAGAGAAGTTTCGAAACAGCGTCCGAATGTATAAAATATTAATATTTTTTAATAAATTTATTATAAAATAATAATTTAATTTAATATTTTATAATTTAAATTATTTTTTTAAAGTTTCGAATATGTTTCGGAACATATTTCGGAATGTGTAGAATTTTTTATATAAAGAGGGAGTATTAATTATTAACTAATTAAGTAAATGAATGATTTAATTACTGAAATTGTAGTTTACTCTACTATTAGTTTTGAAATTAAAATAAAATATATAAATAAGTCCATGTATTTTTTTTAGAGTTTCATTTTTATTTTAAAAAATAGTTTTCCCTAAACATACGTTATTATCATTTTTAATAATATTATTAGTCTGATTTATTTTTACAGTTTAATGATATTTATTAACACTTATTTATTTATTTATTATTTAAATGAAATAAAATAATATATTTTTAT